AGAACTCATCTGAAGAAAGAAGAATTTGTTCAACCTTTTGCTCAAATTCATCATTCAATGGATCAGCGTTGCCAGAAGGTTCATAATGAGAAGAACTTATCTGAAGAGAAAGAAGAAGTTCATAATGAGAAGAGCTTGTTCAATCTTTTTTTTGCTTGACTCTATCACAGAAGAAGATAGATCAGCATTAACATTTCCAGTTCGAGTTCATAATGAGAAGAACTCATCTGAAGAAGGAAGAAGAAGTTCATAATGAGAAGAATTTGTTCAACCTTTTGTTTGAATTCATCATTTGATGGATCAACATTGCCAGGTAGAGTTCATAATGAGAAGAACTCGTCATCTGAAGAAGAAAGAAGAAATTCATAATGAGAAGAATTTGTTCAACCTTTTGCTAAATCCATCACTTGATGGATCAACTTTTCCAGAGAAAGTTCATAATGAGAAGAACTCATCTGAAGAAGAAGAAGTTCACAATGAGAAGAGCTTGTTCAACCTTTTGCATAATTCTATCACAGAAAGAGATAGATTAGCATCAATCTCTCCAGAGAAAGTTCATAATGAGAAGAACTCATCTGAAGAAGAAAGAAGAAGTTCATAATGAGAAGAGCTTATTCAACCTTTTGAATGACTCTATCACAGAAGGAAATAGGTAAACATCATCCCCAGCGGAAAGTTCATAATGAGAAGAACTCATCTGAAGAAAGAGAAGAATTTATTCAACATCTCCATATTAATCAAGTGAATTCAAATGGATAAAAAATATATATTATCTTTTCGTCTTTGCTCTATTCTTGTTAACACGAGAATGAGAAAAGAGGGGCAGCTGAAGATACTATTTTTTTCTCCATTTTTTATTATTATTTATATTATTATTATTTTATTTTTATTAAAATTATTATTACAAACGGGCCAAGTCCGGCCCAACCCAGTAACCCAAATACAGTGGCCCAGACCTAAAGGCCCAAATGTGTAACCCTAACCTCGTTTAGGGTTTATATCTAAGCCCCAGCCGCCATCAGCTATCCACCGTTGGATTTGGCATGATCCAACGGTCCATAAGCGTCCAGATGATCCCAACAGCAAACCCTAGGGTCACGACGCTGGCCGCCTCTCTGACACCTCCATCAACTGCTGCCACGCTTCAACATAAACATCCAGAGGAAGCAAGGAACGTCGTCCACGTTCCAACCATGGGGTGAGTCACCACCTACGGTCTGGTGACTCACCGAACTCCACCCTTAGGACCGGTCCGAGACAAGAGCCGGTGATGGCTATAAAGCCATCACCCAACCTGCAAAGAAAAAACAGCAACCAACAGAGAGAGAAAAAGAAAAAAAAACAACAAACAAGAAAAAAATGAGCAAACCAGCAACCACAAACACAAAAATAAGCAAAGAGAACAGCGAGAGAAACTTACCGGGGAAGACAACGCCTTGATCGGAGTCACCACCGGCCTCCAAACGTCACCAAAAACCTTCGAAAACCGAAGGTATTTTCCTAGATTTGCTCCGATCGGGAGCTATTTAAAAGAAAGGAACATCGGAACCGTCATTAGGACGGTCCGATCTACGTTGTGGTATAAAAATAAATTTTTTCGGCCACCGGAAGCGGTGGCCGGCGGTGGGAATTACGGCGGCAGACGGCTGTCGTCCGGTAGCCGGCTTCCCTCTGATGAGGGAAGCTAGAGAGAGACGAGAGAGAGTTTTAACTCTCTCTGTTTAGAGAGAGGAGAGAAATTGAGAAATGAGAGTTGGCCCTTCGGGCCAACCGATTATGGGACTTAAATAGCCCTTCCCGAACGACGTCGTTTTGGGGAGGGCTATTTGTGTAATTTTTAAATGTTAAACCCTGTCCGTAGTCCCTCTATTTTATATGTTTTACATTTTAGTCACTGAATCAAGTTTATGTTCCTTTTAATTTGGTCTATACACTTTATTTATTTATATTTTAGCCCTTAACCGTAATTATAAATATTTTAGATAAAATACGTATTTAGTCCTTTAGTTTTAATAATTAATATTTTAATCCCGAAGTATATATTTTTAATTTATTTTAATTTGATATTCGAATTTTTTATAATTTTATTTTAGTCACCAAATTAATAAATAAGGAAAATAACATGTTTAATCCCTATAATTTCAAATAATTAATTATGAATTAGGTATTTAATTTTATTAGATTATAATTTAGTCACTATTTTTAAATATTTTTCATTTATTATAAAGTTTTATTGCTTTTAAATATATAGTTCTAATTGTATTTTTATTATTGTTTATTTATGTTTTAATTTTACTTGTTTATATATTTAAATATTATTTTTATTATTATTATATAGTCATATAAATATATATATAATAAATAATAATTTATTTATTTTTTACATAAATTATTTTTATCATATTTTAATATTTATTTATTTTTCAATATCGAAGAAAAGGGCAGTCTTAATACAACTGGATGTCCTATTCTGGTAATTTAAAATTAAATATTATAAAAATTATAATTTTATTTTATTTAAATTATTATATTGTTAATATTTATTAATATCGAAGAAAAGAGCTGTCTTAAGGCACCTAGAAGTCATTTTCTGATATTTCTAAATAAATAAATATTTTATTTATTTTATATATAAATTAATATTTTTTTCTCTCATAATTATAATTTTGAAATAATAGGATTATAAATTAAATATATTTTGAATTTTTAAATTTCTAATAATAGAGACAATTTCTAATTAAAAAGTACCAAATTTGGGCGTTGTAGGGGTGCTAATCCTTCCCTAAACGTAACCGACCACGAATCCCTTTTTATTATTAAAAAGAATGAATTTTTGGTTAAAACGCAGATCAATTTATCTTTTAATCGATGTTTTCTTAAAAACTCTTTTAAAAGATGATTTTTAGGTATTCAACCTACCTAACCCAAAAGGCCGATGGCGACTCCCAAAATATTTTTTTTTTAAATCAAAATCATTAATTTATTCACATCACTTTTCCCGCCAAGTAAAAATTCGTGCCCGGACGAAAACCGGTTACGACACATTGGTTTCCAATCTGATACATGTTTCTTCTAGCGTGTTGAGCACGTCTCCTTTGTCTAAAGAGTCTTTCAATCTCAGGTTCTATCGGTTCCAAAGGCTCTTCAGAATTTCTTCTAGGCATACACTAAATAAACCTGAAAAATAAAACAAAAATATAAAGTAAACTATAAAAATGCAAAACAAAATAAAATGCTCTGGTAAAACTAAATAACTTCAGGCTGCCAATCCCCGGCAACGGTGCCAAAAACTTGTTGCGTGTTGTGAGTACTATAAAATATACGCAAGTAATGTGCAAGTATACACAATCGCTCAAGTAATATAATGATGAGTGGGTATCATCTCCACAGGGATTGGGTGAAATTAAAAAAGTCTAACCAAAGCTAAGCACTAATATATCTATGTATAGTTAGTCTTTATATATACAAATGTCACGGTAAATGAAAATGTGTATGCTGATGGATGTAGATTGATGGTCTGACGGTGTAGCAGATAGAAATGCAATGGCAAGATAAGATGTTTAGTGTTGAAAATGGTGCAATGTCGAGGCAATGAAAGATGGTAAGTAACAATAAATAAAATGAAAAGAAGATAATCCTCACGTGACAAGCTTCCAATGGAATGAATGGTAGGGATTGATCTAAGGATGCTAAACTTATTTATCAGGTATATCTAAGTTATCTAGTCTTTACTTGCTCGACAGGGCTTTCCTAAAATGTTCTCAAATGAACTTAATAGAATAGGATGCCAAGGCATCTGCTCTCACTCAACGATGTTGGCCAACCTGCCCTATTGATAAAAACACTCTTTTTAGTCGTTGAAATCCTATCCTAGTCTCTCCCGAGATCTAAGGGATTAGGTTGTAATATCCCTAAGCCAGTTTAAAGCCCTTGGAAATACTATAACCCATTGCTTATGAGGATCTTATTTTGCGGTTCTCTCGAATTCTTACAAGTATTTCTAGCTTAGGTATCTCCTGAATACCTAAACGTCATCTAAGAAATGGACATTTCCATGCCTCTTACAAGCCTAGATGATGAAGCATTCATAAGCAAAGAAAATAAAGAACCGAAATAAACTCAAATATATAATCAAAATAAAGTCTAAACATCCATTAAACCAACCACCACCAAATAAGTTAGTTCATGGTGGGGTTCGAAATATCCAAACACAAAGTCATGCAAATATTTGTTCCAACAACCCACATATAAATCGAAAAATAGTAGCAAAAAGGGAAGTGAGAAGAAGCCTTTGATGCGCCACCGGAGGTCTCCTTGGCCACAACAAATCACTTTAGCTCTCTAGCTCCTCTCGGCACCTAGCTCGCCACTCCTTGGAGCTTAATCAATGGAGGAAACCCAAGGAAGAAGAAAAGGAAAAGGAAAATAAAAATCTGATTTTTTTCCTGCTCTATGCGTGTGCCTCTTCACCTCTCTCCCTTCTCTCCCTTTAGGTGTCATTATAATAAAAGGATCTAGGGGCAATGATTAGGTTGTTAGGTATAAAATACCCCTCATACCCCTAGAATCACACCATAAGCATGAACTTAATTCTTCAGGTGGCCTTAGTCCTCTAGAAGGTGGCTACAGTAATCATTCCACGTGCCGTGCCAGCTGTCCTTATACAACTGTATCTTTTTGTCGTTTTCTGCGCCAGAAATGCCAAGTCATTTCAATCTGCTTCAGCAACTTGTGATGCCGCGACATTACTTCCTAACGAATCCTTTTTGCTTGCTATTCCTACACATCATAGACAAACTGCACCTTTCCCTCAAGCAGCATCATTAAGAAATAAAATAACACTACCACCACAAATGCAACTATATGCAACTACATGATCTTAAAATGCCTAAAATGAGCTTTTAAATAAACAATAACTTAAGTGAAAAAGGCCTTAAAAGTAGCATTTTTAGGAAGTTAACACTTTGCAAAGGGATCAACGGAAGAGTTTGCTTCTATACCATTTTGCAAATTTTTGCTGAACTCTCTCGAAGACTTCAATAAACCACCATGGTTTCCCGGTTACGAACGCAATGTATCCCATGCTCAATCCCAACACCAACCCACACCCATACCCCATCGATATTGAAAACTTCCAATTCAATCCGTCATCGTCGTCATTTGGATCAAATTTGGATGAGGTTTCCTCCTCATCATCACAACTTTTTGCTAATGGTAACCCACATAAACCCAAGTTCCCTATATAGGAATCATTAGTAAAAGTATCAAATTATTTACCTTGAGGAATTGGTCCCACGAGACTATTATAAGAAAGGTTTAGCACCTCCAAGAATCCGAGATTTTTTAACTCTGTAGGAATTCGGCCTTGAAGTATGCTCGATGAGAGATCTAATGATTCGAGCTCCGACAGATCACCTAATGATGATGGGATAGGACCGGCTAAACAGTTATGAGACAAGTTTAGGACAACGAGTGAGTGAAGCTCGCCTAACATTTTAGGAATTTCTCCGAAGAATTGATTGTTTGAAAAATCAATTGCCATCCAAGTGGTTAATAGTGACTGGAACTCTCTTTCCAACCCTTTTGTTGCAAATGATATATCTGTCACAAAATACCTTGTTCCATCTTCCGCTGTATTCATCATGTTCTTCAGTTCATCTCGTTTTTCATTCCATCCTCGAATGGCATGCAAATTTTCGACAATTTTGGTAGGTAAATAACCGTCGAAGTTGTTATGAGAAAAATCAATGACACGTAAACGAGCGAAGGAAATCGTAACACGTGAATCATCGATTCGACCGTAAAGTCGATTCGATCTCAAGATAAGAACTTGTAACTTATCCAAACTTCCTAACCAATATGGAAATGTGTCATTTAAGTAGTTGTTTCCAACATCGAGAAGATTCAAATCTTTGCAATTTCCCAAAGATCGGGGTAGTGAACCCTCTAATCGGTTATTGCTTATTCGAAAACTTTGTAACGAGCAACCTTTGGTAAAAATTTCTGGTACTTTACCATGAAGATTGTTCTCCCGAGAAAGAAAAGAATCGAAGTTTCCGATGCATTGCGGAATTTTTCCATCCAAACTATTCTTGAATATATAGAGAGTTGTAAGCGAACTCAAATTGCATATCGAGGAAGGAATTTTCCCTTGTAAAATAAATAAAATGAAATTAAGTTATAATTAGGAGTTTGAAGGTTCTTTGAAACAAAAATTAAATAAATTATTAAATTTCATAAAATACTTTTCAATCATGTGGTGACACATGTCACCATTTAATTAGATATTAAGTTTATTTAATTGAATTAAAATGAAGAATAAATTTATAAAATATTTAAATGTAGATAACCAAATGTATATTTATGTCAATTTTTGTTAATTATCACATCACTATTTTCGTTAAATGTTAACGATTAGTTGTCTGATTGAAACATTTAAATAGTTAGGTGATCAAAGTAAAAAAAAGACAATAGTTCAATACTCATACGAGTAGTTTACCCAAAAAATAATAATATTATACCTGTTAAATTGTTATTAGCAAAATCAATTGCGTCAAGATAAATCAAATTTCCGATAACGGAAGGAATTTCGCCTGGGATATAAAATTTAATCAATAAAACTCATATATTATATTTCTCTCATACTTGATAACAAAATAATTCATGAGCAAAAAAAAAGATTTATCAAAATATGATATTATACCTGTTAAGTTCTGTTTTGAAAATCGGACCGGACCAGCCGGTTCAACCGGAAACAGTTGCTTAGTCCAATTCAATCTAAACCGGTTGAACCGCTACTAGTGAACCAGCCAGAACCGCTGAACCATTCGAATCGGATTGACTGAAAACCGGAAATTTTGTTTATTTTTTAAAAAAATTAAACCAAACGTTGTTTGTTAAACGAGCCAAGTCGAACTCAAGTATTGCTGAGCTCGACTAGAACTTAAAAACTTTAAAAGTAAGTTCAACTCCACTCAAACTCACAATTTAAAAATTATCAAGTTCAACTCGAACTCGAAATATAATATTGAAACTTGAACTTAAAAAGGCTTGAACTAAAAAAAAAATTAGAAGCTCAATTGAAGCCTAAAATTCGAGCTTGATTGAAGTAAAAGAATAGTTCACTCAATGCTCACCCAAAGGCTTCATGATTTTGAATGTCAAATTACCTCTATTATTTATAGAAGTTAGTTGTGATGCTCTTCTATGTTTCTTAGCAATGTGGGATTGTTTTGTTCTCATATTTTTACTCTTTTAGACTTTTGGGATGCTCTTCTATGTTTCTTAGCCATGTGGGATTGTTTTTAAAAAAAAAAAATTAAACCAAACAATATCATTTTGTTATGATTTTTTTAGCCCCAAATTTATTTTTTAATTATAATTATATAATTATATTTATTATTTAATATGTTTTACCTTAAATATTATGTTGTAGTTAATTTGAATCATTTTGTTTCACTTAATTTTATGGTTTTTAATTTATATATATGTTATGACTTGCTTTGAATATGACTTGTGATATAAAAAATTATTTTTTATTAAATATTTTTGGTATTTTTATTTAATTTTTTAAATAATTATGACGTCGTCCGGTTCGACCGGTTGAACCAGTGAACCGGTAGCATGGCCGGTTCGCTAACCGGTCCGGTTCTGAAAACCATGCTGTTAAGTTGTTATTAGAAAGATCAAGCGTGGTAATAAAAGTCATATTTCCAAGAAATTGTGGGATTCTACCTGAAACATATCATTATATCTATCAGAAATTATTAGTATTTCTATAGCATATAATTATCTTGCAAACTACACTGCTATAAGCCTATATCAAGATTGAAAGAGTTCACCTTTGAAATCGTTGTTATACAAAAGCAACGTTTCCAAATTTGACAAATTGCCCAAAGTAGATGGAATAACACCAATGAAGAAGTTCCGGTACAAAAGCAAGCTTCGAAGTTTACCAAATTGGCCAAACCATGATGGGATTTCTCCTTGGAAGCTGTTGTTACCAAGGTTCAAGTATCTCAGCCGACGCAAATTCGTCAGTTCGATGGGTAGAGCGCCATGGAAACTATTGTAACGAACGTTGAGCCAGACAAGGAAAGACAGATTTCCCAGTTGAGATGGTATGGTGCCTGTGAGATCCATACTCGACAAATTCAGAGTAGTGACTCTGTGGTGGTTAGATCCACACGTGATGCCGATCCAATTACAAACAGAGACCGAAGTAGACCAGTTGGTTGTTAAGAGATTGTGTGGATCATGACTTATATGAGATTTTAAGGCTAAAAGAGCTGATTGATCAGTGGTGATGTTGGGTGAATTCACAGACAAAATAGCCCTCAAGGTTGCAAATAACAGCGAAAACATAAGATGGAGGAAGCCGGGTTTTGCCATAAGGTTGGATGTGGGGTTAAGGCAAATCATGAGGAGAAATACTTCTCAAAGGTTCAATATTCTTTAAATAAGTCAGGGTATTTAAAAAAAAGTGTATACTAAGTATTGAGTCACTCAACTGTTTGTACGGTTATGTTTTGGTCGGTCACTATTTCTTTTTTTCAAAATAATCAATAACATTACTTTTTGGTTTCATTTTGGTCACCCTTTGTTAAAAAATTAACATTGATGCTGATGTGTCACCATAAGGTAATGTCATGTCATCATTGAAAAAAATGCATCACCAACAGTTCAATTATTTTTTTATCGACAGGTGACTAGAATGAAACCAAAACGTAGTGTAAAAAAAATAGTTAAGTGACCAAAACGAAACTGCATGAATATTTGGATGACTAGATACATAGTTTACCATTAAAAATTAAATCTTTAACTAATTTTTATTTTAAATCTTACATTAACTATAATTATATATATATATATATATATATATATATATATATATATATATATATATATATATATATATATATATATATATATATATATATATATATATATGTGTGTGTGTGTGTGTATAATGTATTCAATTATAATCATGTATTAAATTTATTTTAATGGTTTAGATGCTCTAATATCTCCAACTAACCTAAGATTAATCCTCACTTGTCACTTGTACTTCTCCTTTTTTTCCCATTAACTAAAATATAAGATATATATATAAAATGTTATAATAAATTACTAAATATGAGAATTAGCCTAATGGAATGCATAATCCCTTTTAAGTCTCGGGTTTAAGTCATTTTTTGTCAAAATTTCTTCCTTTTTACTGTCATTAACGACAACAAGATATATACAATATGTTACTATTTGACTAGATAATTAAATTTATTAAATTAATTTAAAATTAAGATCAAATTGATTAAATATATAACTAGTGAAGACCAAATGTGTAAATATACTAGTTTTTAACTATCATATCACCTCTCTCATCAAATATTAACAACAACTGGTTTGATTGACAATATCTAAGTCAAATGATATAATTGATAGAAGTGAAAGATAGGTGATCAAAATAAAATCTCCTCATAATAAAGTGACCATGAGTGTAATTTATCTTATTTATAATTTATATTTAATATATAATACAAATAATTTTATTAAAATACAATTACTTATTTAATTTTCTAATTTATAATGATGTTATTAATATACTATAGTTTTTAATTATAAAAAAATATGATAATAATTTATGGAAAATTATTCGATACATAGATTATTTAGGGTTGACGTTCAACATTTAAGATTTTAAAATTCAAGTGTTTTTATTAGTTTAGGTAAATACAAAATAATATATGTTCAAAGTACGTCTCCAGTCCATTTTGTCTCCTTTTCCCATTGAAGAGTTGACGTGTTTGAAGAAATGATCGAGTTAAAACCATTGCAAACAGTAAGAATATTTGAAGCTTCAAACTTTCTATAATTAGTATTTGACTACTTTAACTTTGACCTTCGGCTATCAGTTCAAACAATGTGGGGGTTGAGGAGGATGAAAGTGTTTCCAACATCTTGCAAGAGATGTACCAGATTGGAGTGTGAATAAAGATTTTGGTTTTACCTATGCCTTTCATTGCTTGTTGTTTTCTCTAGTATATAATTTCAATGTTTTTATTAGGGTGAGTACCTATTGACTCGAGAGAAAAAAAATTAATCGAGTTGATGAGTTTTATTTTAGGATTCAAACTTTAATTGAAATTTTTAGAGTCAAACTTTTGAGTTTTTATTTGAATTTAATTATAAATATGTCTAATGTTATGATGCAAATTGATCTAATTTAACAATTTTATTTGACCATAGAATATATACATTATTTATATATTTTTTTTCATATTGTAATGTTATTTAATAAATCAAATGTCATCTAAGATTATAAAATATATTTATAATTTTTTATTTGGATAAATCCGTTTGTATTATCCAAGGAAAAGCAACAAGTTGCTACATCAATACACGAGTAGTATCCACTAAAAATACGATACTCAATCCAATAGACCCCATTCTGTATAAAAGTTAGAATTCATTATCTCATCCTAGTTATATTCCTATTGTATAACTTGTGTTGAACAGTAAGTTTAATTAACCTAAAAATGTCCTCTCACTCCTAACCACCTTCCTAAAAGTTCTTTTGTTACGTTAATGAGATAAACCTGCGCACTCCACACTATCTATCTTAAAAATAAGCGAGAGGAGTGATCTGCCCTTACGATTGCTGAAAGTCCAGGCGAGCTCATGCTCCCAATAACACACACGTCTCCCCAGATTGCAAAGGCTAAGAATCCTTTCCCAAATGCTGGCCGATTCCAAGAAAATGTGGTTTCTTGTCTCAACTGCCATTGCACACATGATACACTTGTCCTCCACCGTCATTTTCATCTTTAACAGACGTTCTTTCTCCTAGCTTATGTCAATGAACTTTGTCTCCTTTCTCCTAGCTTCCAACCATAAACCCTTTGATGTTGTATCGCTTCTATCTAGCAGAGAATGCAAACTACCAATCTCCTACCTCATCGAAAAAACTTTCCTAAGACTCCAACTAATAGCACCTTTGGTTTCCGCAGTCCATAAATCACCCGATTTTGTCACATAGGCCTTCACCCACGTCACCCAAAGGGATCCCTCGTTAGTTAGTATGCTGCGAATCAACTGAATAAAACACACCTTGTTCCAGCAATGAAGGTTGATCAATTCCAACCCCCCTCTGATTTCAGTAAGCAAGTCTACCCCCAGCAAACCTTTATCCCCGACGTAGGATTGTCTTGGCCCTTTCAAAAGAATCGAGAACAAAGTTGGTCGATCCTCTTCACCACACTCTTAGAGAGCACAAGCTGCCTACACCAGAAATTTACAATGCCAAACAACACCGACCGTACCTATCGCAGCCTACCAGCAAAACTTACTCCAACCAAACCAATGTTCAAGCCTGCTTCGAATACTATTGACTAGCGCTTGACAGTCACGCTCAGTTAATTTTCTCGTCAGTAGAGGCGCACCCAAATAACGAATGAGACCATAAAATGGTAACATACATTGTAAGCAGAGATCGAAATTAATGAGAAAATTTACAATAATAATAAAATAAAAGAGTATATTAATAATTTGTGAATATAATAGTAACATACATTGTAAGAAGAGATCGAAATTTAAATATTAAAAATGATAACTACAAAACATATTATATTATATCATAAAACAGACGCAGGCCAGTAAAAATTAGATAGAAGAGTATCAATTTTACATTATCAAAAAATAATAATAATAATGTTTGAACCGATTAATTTTCTTAGTCAAATTTGGGTTAGTTGGGTTTCGTTTCATTTGGGTTTAAACTTTTCAGGTTGGGATTCATGTGGGTTTTAGATTTGAATATGGACTTAGGATTAATTCTGTTATATTTTGGGCCTTTATATATTATATTATATTATTGTTATTGTTATTTATTTGTTTTAATACGTAGAGTTAATTTTCTCATACGTTCTCAAACTGCGATTTTAATTGCTAATTGATCATTACGTTGTTGAATATTGTAATTCTATTTCCAAGCGGTGACTCTTATTTTAAATTAGTTCTCAAACTTTTAAACATTCTAATTTCATTCTTAAACTATAATCTTCATTCTAATTGGTCTCTAAACTTTAAAATATTTCAGTTTTATATCAAATTATAGGTATATACTAATCACATCCACTGTTAATAAAACTGTTAGACCAAGCTATATTATTATATATTTGGAAAAATATAAAATCTAGGTTAAACTATGGTTGAAACTAATGACATATTTGGATAAATTTGGGAATGAAATTGGAAGATTCATATGTATGGGAATCGACTTATAATGAGGGTCATAGTTTGGGGGATTAAATTAGAACATTTAAAAGTTTGAAGACTAATTTAGAATGAAATTCATAGTTTAGGGATGATATTAAAACATTCAAAAGTTTGAGGACCAATTTAAAATTAGTCACAATATAGGGAAACATGATGTAATTAACCATTCTTTTTATTGATCTAGGGTGCTTACAAGTGGTAGTATCTAGTCTAAAGATTATCTCAATCATTTGACTATGAACGTTTAAATATCATGTAGTTTTTTGTGCTCAAATTTGAGACCTCTAGAATAACAATTATTCCTTTAATCACTAAGGTAACTTGGTTTGTTCTGATTCAATTAACTTTAATATATATTATTCATTAATATACTTAATACTAGTGCTACATACGTGGTTACACAAAATATTAAAAGATGCATGCTAATAATAAGGAGAGATAAATGGAAGTTAAGTGTCAAAAACAAAAGATGTATGTTTGTGAATAAGACCATGAATGCTTGTGGATTGTAAATGAGGTTTTGGAGACCATATGTTTATGTTACGTAGTGTTTGGTTTTGATATGAAAGGTGTAAGTGTTTTAGTGTAGGTTTGAAATGATTCAAGTTATAATATGAAATTCTGATTACATAGTTTTGAAATTATGTTATAAGTTGTGATACTTCCTATTGAAGTTTCGAAATTTTTAGAAATAGTTTTAGTACTCTTGGTTTAAAAAGTTTAGGGTTTCAATACTTTCTAAAAACGTACGATTTTATGTTACGAGGGTAAACTTCTAAAATTTTAAGGGGCATATTATCAATTGAAAATATAAAGAAAATATATATTAATTTAAAATTTTCAGGGACAACTGTCCTCATTTGTCTCGCTTCAGTTTTGAAATAGTGTATTAAGTATTCTAACTTACTAAATAGGCCCCTAGATATTAATAGCGATTAAAATAAGTATACATGTGATAATTGAGCCTAAAATGAGTATGGTATATGATTGAGTTTTTAATAGATTAATAATATGATATTGTTCACCCTCCATTAAAATTTTAATAATTGTAGGATTAGTCCCCTAGTTGTTCAAAATTTAAGAATTGATCCTTAAGTAAGTGTCTCATTCATCCTTGTATGGACTAGTAAAGATGTTTATGATCCTTTAAGGCCTAAATTAAGATAAATACTAAACGAAGTAAAGTCGGTTTAGACTTTTATATATCAAAAGTAATCATGTATCCGTTGTACTTTCAGAAATTTATTCATTAATCCCTCAACTTTTATAAGTTGTATGTTTTATAAATCAGATCATGAAATAAAAGTTAAGAACTGAATTTGTAATAAAGAATTGTGTGATGTGTTTGTACTTTGTAAACAGAAATGGACGCGATATTTTATGTTAGGAGGCGAATTTATAAATTTTAGAGGGAATCGAACTTATAAATTTTAAGAAGAACGAAAACAGATTATCAATAAAAAATATATAATATAAAAAAATAGAAATTTTAAGGGATTACCGTCTCTGTACCTACCTTTGTCCATCCCTATCTTTAAATCAATATTAAAGGTTAACGAGAAATAAAAAAAATGTATTAAATCGAGTGGTTTGATTGAATACTGTATTCTGTTTATTCCCACTTGTTAAAATTTTTGTTTTCAAACGCCAAACTTTTAATTAGCATAAGTTTTTTTTTTAAGATTCTAATATGATTATAAGAGACGAAAATAAATTTCAATAAAAAAATTTATTTTATAAATTTCAGGAAGTAAAAATAAATTATTAATAAAAAAATATTTAAAATATATGATAATTTCTTGTGAAAAGAACATATGATAATTCAATTGTTTTAAAGAAAACATCTGTCTTCGACCTTCCCTTTCAATCCATCCTTACTTTAGTACATGCATCAAATTAAGAGTTATATTTTATGTAAAATGTTATTCTGATTGGCAATTGCAATCAAACATATTCATCAATTATCAAACTGGCAGTACCATTTGTGACTTATTCCTCACGGCAAATTAACAAACTGGCACATTGGAAAACATCAATCGGGCACCCTTTTCCACAAGTAATTAGAATCTGTCACATTCAATTATACCGCAAATTAATCAAATCATAGACTATAAAATTCTACCGCAAATTTTCCTCCAGAAAAAACCACCTCCTCGGTCAAATAATTAAGAGATTTTCCGATAAATTATATACTAATAGGAATTAAATTATTGTAACTTAATTTTCAAATGAAAATATGACGTCTTAAAACTAAACATATGAAAATCGAAAATTTTTGTAGACGTAAAAATTAATATTTTTAAAAAATATATAAATTATATTATCTAAATTATTCATAATACTTAATCAATAGAAATTAATTTAAAATTTGTAAAAGTCATCTCTTACAAGTGATTAAGTAAATTAATAGATTAATCTCATATTTCAGTTCTCGACTGAAGTATCTTTGCCATCGAAAGTGCAATTTATTCCTGATATAGAAAGATTACAAGTATTCGTAGATGAAAACAACTTAGATATTTATTCTCATAGACATTATCTTTTGTGTTCATTAATTAAATCGTGACTGATTTTTAAAAAGTTTTATACTTAATTTAAATATTTTTTTATTATAAATACCTAACGTTGGGTGCTCACTTCTTCACAACTTTTCAATTTCTTACCAAAAGTACTGGTCGTAAACAATGTCTGATTCAAACACTTTCTTGTTTTTGATTGTCGGGATTTTGGCATCTCAGGCAATGTCTCGGACAGTTCATGAATCCGCCATTGATGAACATGAACAATGGATGGTTAAGCATGGCCGAACTTATAAGGACAGAGCTGAGAAAGATAAACGTTTTAAGATATTCAAAGAGAACTTTGAATATGTTCACAGCTTTAATAATGCAGGAAATACAAGTTACAAGCTGAGTATCAACAAGCACTCAGACTTGACGCATGACGAATTCGTCGCGGCTCGTACCGGAGACATCAACCCGAGCAACAATGTGACTTCGACGGAAATGTCGTTTCGATATGCCGAGTTTGCACAGATTCCATCAAGCTTGGATTGGAGGACCGAGGGCGCTGTCACCGCTGTTAAGAACCAGCACAATTGCGGTAAGAGTTGGCGACTTCTTTGAATTCCTTTTAGTTGACAATTTATGGGTAAAGTACAAATTTATACTCAACTTTCTTTCTACTTTTATTTTGGTCACTAAAATTTAACAATTTTCAATTTACTCCCTAATCTTTAGTTTTGCTCCTATTTTGATTACTTCATCATTAAATACTTAATAATGTTATGAAGGAACATTTTTCTTTTAAAAAGTATGAAATGACCAAAAACATTCTTCATTTTTTGTAAAAAAAAAATCCTAATTTCGAATTTCCTATGATTTCTCGATGCTGAAACATCTTCTTCCAAATCCCAATGGGAGGGAGGTAGAAAAGGATGAAGTGAATTGTATATATTGATTCCATTCTAATCGTATGGTGGATATCATAGACCAGAGTGATTTTGAATGTTGTGAGTTTAGAATTTATGGTTGAGTTTTATGAATTATTAAATGATTAAGATCTAAATTGATAGAGTAGTATGAGACAATAAAATGAGTTTGTTGATATCTTGAGTGATCACATAAGACATCAGAAAATGATAATTTTTGAACCAATGTGACACAAGAATGAAGTTATACAACTTTCATCTTTGGAGAAAAAAGATAAAATAAAAAAAGGAAAAGGAAAAGAAATGATGTGGATGACATATGTATTCCATGTCAATAAAAAAATAGTCCATACTAGTACACGTGACTGCCATGTCACCATTTCATTTGTGATTTTACACCCGAGTAACCAAAATAGGAATAAATCGAAAGTTATTTGAGTAAATTAAAAATTTTAAATTTTAACGACTAAAGTAGGAGTGAGAAGAAAGTTGAGCAGTGCATCAATGTAATTACCCTGATTTTATTCACTTCATTGTTGCGTCTTTAAAGTTACATTCACTAATGAATTAAACGTGGGCATTTTGGTTAGGGTGTTGTTGGGCATTTGCAGCAGTAGCGGCTACGGAAGGTGCAACCCAGATCAAAACTCAAAATTTGGTCTCATTGTCCGAGCAACAAGTACTGGATTGCAGCGACAACAATGATGGTTGCAACGGTGGTAACAAGATATCAGCCTTCCAATACATCGTGCAAAACAGTGGATTAACCAGCGAAGACAATTATCCCTATCAACAAACGCAAGGAGCCTGTGATATGCAAAAGCAGGCATCCCAAGTCGCCGTTATCAGCAGCTACGAAAAGGTGCCACCCAACAGCGAACAAGATTTAGTCAAGGCTGTCTCGAACCAGCCGGTTGTGGTCAGCATAGAAGCCAGTGGACCCCATTTTAGGCACTACAAAAGTGGTGTTTTTACCGGGAACTGCGGGACTCAGACCAACCATGCCGTTACCGTCGTTGGATTCGGGACGAGCGATGACGGTATCGATTATTGGTTGGTGAAGAATTCATGGGGTGTGGAGGATTGGGGTGAAGATGGTTACATAAGGATGCAAAGGAACGTGGCTGACCCACAAGGTCTTTGTGGGCTAGCCATTAGACCTGCCTATCCAACTGCATGAATATTCCAAGGTCTTTGCAATTTGCCAATGCATTGATTGAGGAAACTCAAGCCCTCTATGTGTTCCTCTCATTTTCCCTTTGTTGTATTAAGTCAAGGTCCTTGCAATTTACGTCCAAAAATGTATCCGTCGCTCTTTAATATTTTGTTTGCTTATGTATCAAGTGTTCACGTCAGTATTTTGGAGTTTTTTCAACTTGGTCTTCAAAGTCCAAATGTATCCTTCCATATCTGTCTTTAATTTATAGAAAGAGTTGCAACTCAATATTTTTATCCTATAATATATGTATATACGGTTATATTAATGTCTATATTTCGAAAAAGAATTACATACCACGACCTAAATCAAGTAAGAAGTTTATATATTACAAATATCTTATGCTAGCATGAACCAAGCTACCTAAATGGTTAAAGGGATGTTTGTTGTCCTTACAGGTCCTTGGTGGTTCGAGCACATTGTATGTTAGGGGTGTTTGAACATTAATTGTCAAATGGATTGAGAATCTTTCGAACAGATACAACCTTGTAATCGCTCTTAGATTAATTAAAAGAGAAATAAATATCTTATGCCATAAATCAAACTCACAGCAGGTTAAAATGAAGACAATTTGTACAAGCAAAAAACACAAAAGTAAACACAACCACTAGATAGAACCTAGAAAAACATAATACAAAAGACACAACATACAATAAAACACCAAAGAGTTCGCTTCTCTACCTTTTTACAAATCTTTGGATCACTCTCTCGAAGATCTTAATGAACCGCCATGGTTTTCCGGTTGTGAATACGACGTACCCATGCTCAATCCCAGCACCAACCCACATCCGTACCCCATCAATATCGAAAATTTCCAATCCAAATCATCATCATCATCTTGATCAAATTTGGCTGGAGTTTCCTCATCATTGTCACATCCTTTTGATAATGGCAACCCGCATAAACCCGAGTTTCCTGTATAGGAATTATTAGTGAAAGTATCAAATTGTTTACCTTGAGGAATTGATCCAATAAGATTTTTCTGTGAAAGGTTTAGCATCTCCAAGAATCCAAGATTTTTTAACTCCATTGGAATTCTTCCTTGGAGCTTGTTTGATGAGAGATCTAACGATTCAAGCTCCGACAAATCACCAAATGATGATGGGATATGACATGTTAAATTGTTGTGATAGAGGTTCAAGACAATAAGTGAGTGAAGCTCACCGAGTTTGTTCAAAATTTCTCCGACAAATCGATTACTCGAAAATCGATTACCATCCAAGTGGTTAATAGTCTGAGAAACTCCATTTCCAACCTTTTTGTTGCAAAAGATAATCCCGACGCATAATTCCACTTCCAAATTGACGATATATCTATCATCATGTACTCTGGTTTACCTCTATTTTCATACCATTCTCCAATGATATGTAAATTTTTGAGAAAATTCATAGGTAAGTAGCCACTGAAGTTGTTATGAGAAACATCAATGACATGCAAACGAGTGAAAGAAATTGTAACATCGGATCGATCGACTTCTCCGTAAAATCGATTCGATCTCTAGATAAGAAATTTAGCTGATCCAAATTTCCTAACCAGTTTGGGAATGTGTCTTGTAAACTGTTGTTTCCCACGTCGAGAAGTTCTAAATCTTTGCAATTACCCAAATATCGTGGTAATGACCCTTCTACTCGGTTGTTGCTGATTAGAAAACTATTTAACGTGCAACCTTTAGCAAAATTTTTAGGTATTTTACCATGGAAATTATTCTTCCGGAGGTCGATGTGCGAAAGGGAAGAAGTCGAGCTTCCAATGCATTCCGGAATTGTTCCATCCAAACTATTTTTTCGTAAAGAGAAAGTCACAAGGGAACTCAAATTACATATTGAAGAAGGAATTTTCCCTTGCAGAAAATTTGGAATAGAGCGAGCATTAGGAGTTTGAAATCAAAACTATTGTGTTAAGAAACTCGAAGATTGTAAATCTAAAAGAGATTGTATCAATGTGACAACAATAAGGAGAAGAAATATTATACCTATTAAGTTGTTATTAGAAAGATCCATCATTTTAAGAGACATCGAGTTTTCAATAACTAATGGAATTTCACCTGAAACATACAACTAAACTTGTCAAAATAATTTGATAGTAAAATTGTTTTATGGTTTGTATCTTTGTATTTATGGAGTATAAGAAAAGAAAAGAAATATGACATTATACCTGTTGATTTGTTATAAGAAAGATCCACATACATCAGAGAAGTCAAGTTTCCAATAACTGATGGAATTTCACCTAAAACATACAAATAAATTCATCAATATTTAAAAATGCTTAAGCGAAATCGAATGTAAATTAAACAATTGTTGATTGGAATGAGGATTTGTTTACCTTTGAGGTTGTTGCTATCAAGATACAAATTATGCAGCATTGTCAAATTTCCGATTTCTATAGGTATACTTCCTTCCAAAGAGTTGTTATGCAACGATAAAAGCTTCAACTCTTTGCATTTGAATAAGCTATTCGGAACTCTGCCAGAAATCTGATTCCCTTCCACGTTGAATTCTTTCAATTTAGAAAGATTATCAAATAAATCCGATGACAGATGACCTACAATGAGATTGTTAACTATAAATCAACTTGTTTAGTAATGAACAAATCTTTTTTTTTTTGAAATAGGGTACTTTGTAGTAAAATGCAAAGTACACCACCTCATTAGAAAACCTCTCTAGCCCTAAATAGAGAAAAAAGAGTGAACCAAGAAGTGGAAAAGAGCAAATATAATGATACCACGGTGCAGCACACAATAAATACCCCACACCACACCCCACACCATAGCAAAACTCACACAAACACCCAACATACCATACAACAGAACGAAATTAGAATAGAAAGAACATAAAAAACAACATACAGGCGAACACAGCAGCAAACGGGACTATCCAAAAACAGCAGCAGGAACCAAGATTGTCAGACCTGCTGATCAAAACATTACACCTTGACTTCCTCGATCATTCAACCCCGCACACAATATTCAGCATAAACATCCTTTAAGAACCATCAATCCAAAATTCTGTGTAAAAACTCAAAGAACACAACCCAATGCTTCACGCAATCCCCGACCAACACACACCAAACTCAAGACAATATATGTGACGGGAGAACACCAACTCAAGACAATATATGTGACTGGAGAACACCAACTAATTTACTACCAAAACTCTTACTTAATGGAAGAGTTACTTCTTTTCAACATAAGCAGCCTATATTTTCTTCAAATCTGCATCCGATAGAGATCTACCAGATAATTCAAAGGAATTTAGATCAGACTTTAGCAAATTGAATCTCTTCAACGTTCGATCTCTTTTTATTTTCTCAGCTTTTGTAAGGACTTTGTCCTGAATATCCAATAGCGATCCAAATTTCTTTCGATGCCATTAATTGTGCACTTTCGGTGGAATTTTTAATGCACTTTCGGTGTATTTCACCGATTTTCAACAAATAATCTAATGACCACTAAAATCTAAATATGAGTGAGATTTATTATTACAAATAGAGGGTAAAAGAGAGTGAAGGGCAAAAAGTGTGATCAGCTTCGGTGGTTGCTGCAAAATCTCAAAGGTAAATCCTTATTGGTCTATCTGTTGGTTTTTGGCAAAGTCCCACATTGGTTGTGTATAAGGAGGAGGGGAAATTCTTTTGTTATAAATATAGCCATCCTCCTCCTTAGTTAATCATCCCACAAATATAAGCCTACTTCTATATTAAATGCTATTTGTATTCTTTCTCTCTTTTTAATATTTCCTCTATTAGTGAAATATTTTTGGTGTTCTCTTTTATCTCTATTTAATAGCTATTGTCGGGTATAGTTGTTGTTAATTATTGTCCTATTAAAATTACTTGTCTTGATAGTTCCGTCTTAGGAAAGTGGGTTTAAAGAGGGACCATTGTGACCCCTCCTCTTTCCTGGGAATATACCTTGGGGTGATTTTTAGTACAATCGTTTTCACACTAGTCACCTGGATAATAGTTTCGAAGGTGAATCTGTTATTGGTGGAAATTAACCCGAATTCCACAACAATTGGTATCAACGCTCTTGGTTTATTTTAGTATGCTCTGTGGTTGCGGCTTAGGCTGATCTTCCACATCAGAAAAAATTTCCTTGGGATAATTGACATTCCGCATTGGCAGCTATTAAATAGAATTTGTAGCAGAAATGACAGACGCTTCTTCATCTTTCAATTTTGGCAAGAAATGCTGTGACAAATGTTAGATTTGCAGTGGAGATTTTTTATGGCACCGGTCATTTCAGCATGTGGCAAAGTGAGGTTCTAGATGCCCTATTTCAGCAAGGTCTAGACATTGCTATTGAATGAGAGAAACCAGATGATGTTGAGGAGAAATAATGGAAGAGGATCAATAGAATGGCATGTGGTACTATTCGATCGTGTCTTTCTAGAGAGAAGAAGTATGCATTTTCTAAGGAAACTTCTGCAAGTAAATTGTGGAAGGCACTGGAGGAGAAATTTTTGAAGAAAAGCGGTCAGAACAAACTCTACATGAAAAAAATTGTTCCGCTTCAACTAGTACCAGTACCACTAATGATCACATTACTAGCTTTATCATCTGGTGACTGATCTGATGAATATGGACGTGACTTTTGAAGACGAAGATCTGGCTCTGATGTTAATGGGATCACTTCCTGATGAGTTTGAGTATCTTGAAACTACTCTACTTCATGGGAAGGTTGATGTGTCTCTCAGTGGAGTAACTGATGACTTTATAGTTTAGAATTGAGAAAGAAAGACAAACAAGAAACACCAAGTGTCGACAGAATCTCTTGTTGTTAGAGGCCGTTCGAAGAGTTAGAATAAGGAAGCAGAGGGAGATCGAAGTCAAAGTCCAGATTGAGCAAAGATGAATGTGTCTTTTTTCGAGAAAAAGGCATTGGAAGAAGATGTCTCAGGCTAAAGAATAAAGGCAAACCTGAAAGGGGGGAAGGCTGTCTCAGAATCAAATGTGGTCGAGTATGATGATGCAGATTCAGATTTCGCATTCGCTGCTACGCCGTCAACCAGTTGTTCCAGTTCATGGCTGTTAGATTCAGCTTGTAACCACCATATGACCCCAAATAGAGAATGGTTCTTGATTTTAAAGAACTAAAAGGTGGAATTATCTACAC